GGGTGTGGGTGTGGGGTGTGGGTGTGGGGTGTGGGTGTGGGGTGTGGGTGTGTTACAGTTACCACAATACAAATTGAATTTCATTTAAACTGATAAAAAATTATCAAGTGGCAGTGTATCTGTTATAAAATGATCTGAATTGAGAAAATTCAAATCAAAAACAAGATACTTTGTAAAAGGTTAGAATGATCTTTATCTGCCAAAGTTTGCACACCGCTGCTGAAAAGTTTTAATAAGGCCGTCATTGACGAAAATTTGTACGCCGTTCTTAAAAAGGCCACGATGATCAGCACCTTGTAACATCTGTATGCTGTTGGTGAAGAAAAGGTGACGATGACTTTCATTAGCTATAATTTATGTGGTATAGTAGTGTAAGGTCAACATGACCTTCTCCCTCTAGAATTTGCCTAATGATGTTGAAGCAAAAGGTCACAGTGACCTAGACGAAACATAATTTGTATGCTGTTGTTGAAAAAGATCACGATGAACTTTAGCTTCCTAAATTTGCGTCCTACTGCTGAAAAATCCCAATATAACCGTCATCCAGCAAAATTTGTGTGCTGTTGTCTAAAAGAGCCATGATGACAGACAACTTTCAATATTTGTCTGCTGCTCGTGAAGAAAAGCTCACGATGACCATCATCAGACGTAATTTATATGCTATAGAAGAGGAAGGTCAAAATGAACTTCTCCTTCTATAATTTGCATACTGTTGTTGAAGAAAAGGCCATCTTGAATTAAGTATAAAAAACACTTCGATGTTGTTGTTGAAGAAATCCGCGATGGCATTCTGCTTCTAAAATTTGGGCGCTGTTGCTAAAAAATGTCGAAAAGGCCGTCATCGACGAAAATTTGTATGCTGTTGTTGAGAAAGACCACGATGGCAGCCGCCTTTTAATGTTGGTGTGCTGTTTGTGAAGATAAGGTGAAGATGATCTTCATCTGATGAAATTTATACGCTATAAAAGAGGAAGGCCAAAATGACCATCTTCTTCTATGACTTACATGCTGTTGCTGAAGAAAAGGTGATGTTGATGTGGCTGGGTGTGGGTGTGTATTAAAATTTGAAAGAATAACTACGACTATAGTTTCGACCTTTCTCAAGGGTCAAAACCTTCCGGTAGTTTTTAGCACTGCATAGTCTTTAAGAAGATGAGATTTTGAATATAAGTACTTTGAAATCTCTCGATTGCGGTTTTCCTGTGTATCAAGTAGAAGATGTCCGACACCTGTAGTTTTTACTGTTCTTTAGGTGACTGGAGTCTAATCAAGTGCAGGGTATGTACAATTAATTTGATTGTTAGAGATAGAATTGTATAGATACCTTAACTAGGAAGTGGTGATCGTGACTGATGTTTGGACTATTTTTGTGTTACTCACCGTTATGAAATTGGATGTTTTGTTGAAACACGATGCGAATTGTCGAGATGGTTTTTTCATTGATTCGTTTTGGAATAGAATGCTGAATAATTTGATTGGGTGAGCGGTAAATAGTGGTGAGATTATTTGTTTGTCTTAGTGGTGTTTTTTTTGTCGAAATAGTGCTTTTGTACAGCATTTTGTGCTTATGGATGTGAAGAGATTATCTGAAATAGAAGGAATGAAAAGACGTTAATTGTTCAGGGGAATTTGAGGTACTTTATTTTGGAAAAGCGTTATTATGTATTAGTATTTCATTTAGGCGGGAAAATCAGTGGTGTATTATGAGATTATTGGATTTTGAGCCGTTTTTTTTATAATTGTTGATGACGAAATGCCAGGTCTTCCCACTCTTCTTTTTGTCGAAGTAATTTCTGATTTCTTCTGCATTGTTGTGCATAGTCGTTGTTTTGCATGTCGTAGATTTGCATTGCTTGATCGTGTTGATCCCACCACAGTTGGTCCTGAAGGAATTTTGCATACCGTTCTGTATCGTCTAGTGGTAATCCGTGCTCTCGAGGTGCAGGATTTCCTTGTAGTTCGTTTAAATGTTCTTGTTCCCAAACTTCCTGTCTGTCTTGTGGAGTCATTCTTTCTAAATAGTACTCTTCCAGCTCTCGTTCTCCGAGTATCTCATCCATTTTTGCAGCAACTCAATACTATATCATTCTTCATGGACTTTAGAACGTAATGGTGAAGACCGTAATATTTTATTCCTTTAATTCAATCAAAAATAAGGGCAAAATATATTCAAACTGATTACATTTGGAAGAATTATGTACAAACAAATAGGCTCAAAATTGTACAAATGAAGTATAGCCTAGAGTTTAAAAATCTAAAAATATCTTTGACAGTGCTCTTAATATCTGAGAGTGAATGAGATGCAAAATCGTAACAAGTAGATCATATCTATTTACTCTGAAGTTAACAATATCATTTGAAGAGGAAGTTAACGATGAACTTTGTCGTATTATAATAGGAAGCCAATCGAATACAAGCGAGAGTTAGATCTTGACAAACGAATGAATTGCGAATTGTATAGAAAATTCATGAAATCATTATCATCATTACTACTCGATAACGTTCATGTTATGACGGCTTCATAGATTTTATGAAAGCAATTGCATACAAATCAATCGTAGATGCATGAGAAAATGAGTTAACATGATGCAACTGGTGCTTTTTTTCTCAAGGACAAAAGGAAACGAAAGTTGGTATTGTGATACAGAGTTCTCCTGCTATATAAGCATCTAGTTCAAATAATGCATATACTTCATCTAATTCAATTGCAAGCGATGATTTGATCATGATCGAATGACGACAGTAGCATTTGCTAGGCACAGAACATTCTTTTAGTTTTTTCTTGTCATACTGAATCGAACTTTTGACATGTGATAATAAAATCAAAATACAAAACAGAATATGAAGAGAAAAAAACTCGCAGTACAAATAATCAAAGCAAATGAAGCAAAAGATTAAGAAAAACAAAAAACAAGAAAGGAAAAGTGAGAGGAAACTAAACTACAGATAAAAAAACAAAACACGACAAATGAAACAAATAAACCAAAAAAGCATGACGATTGTTCCAACAACGTATTTCATGAGTTTAATGCAAACGATACGATCACTTAGTGGTACCAATTTGTACCACTGACTTAAGCGAATTTAATATCGCCAAAATTCTAGAAAAATAACATTAAAAAAACAAAAAGAAGAAAGTTATCTTAGGGTGTGGGTGGGTGTGTGGGTGTGGATGTGGGTGTGACAAGCTACCATGACCGGTTTCGACCTTGCTTAAGGGTCCTCGTCAGATGGCAATAGTATTCAAGAATTTATAGGAAAATTCTAAATACTAAATTTATACTGTTACTTACAAACTTAATCAAAAAGTTGATAATTAATGATAAGTTTTGGTTTTAAGGTTTAGGTTTGGTGTTTTTTGGAATGAAATGTTTTGTTTGTATTTTATTTATTTGCCCCTATTTTGTGAATTTTTTTTGGTTGTGTTTGAAGGGAGATGTGCTACGGAATTGCTTTGCTTTCAGAGTGTAGTATCGGTGTTGCATTTTGAAAGGTGTGGGGTAACTGGCAGAATGCTGGTGTTTGTTTTCAAGGTTTGAGTTTTTTTTTTATAGCGGAGGAGTTTTATGTCTCTCGGACTGGTCTTTGTGTATGCGGTTGTGCACTGTATTTTTAGAGGGTGGTAAGTTCTTTGTGGAATATGTGTAGTGTGTTTTGCAATGATTAATGTAAATTTTTGCAATTTTATTGCGTTAATTTTTGGAAAGAAAAAAATTTTGCTACATCATCGCTTATATGAGTCATTCTGGTGTCTATTGTACCGTTTGACCGTCAAAAATGGCCTTGTTTATTTCTCAGTTCCTGTTCAGTCAAATTGCTCGAAATTAATACCAAAATATCTGTTAGTCATGCTCTACTTATGCTGCTAAAATCAGGTTTCTATCTTTTGTCGTCTACGAAAAATGTTGAAAATAAACTACTTTTTTCACCTTTTTTGTGCACTTTTATGATGGTTCCAGGTTGGTTGCTTTTCTTTCTGTCTTTTTTTT